ATTATTATTATTTATAACATAAAATGCACTAGTATAATAATGAAGAAGTAAATTTATAGAGAAATTCTTATGTAGTAATTTAATAATATGATGGATAGTAAATTTTATATTGAAGATGTCTTTGTTGAAACATAAAATGAAAAACTTGAAATTCCAAATGCAGATAAAAATAAAATAATGCATACACTTGTATTGTATTTTCTATATTTAAAAAGGAAGAAAATTTAAAATAGAAGAATGATTTTTTAAATTCAGAAGATTATAATAATTTTTAACAACTAATAGTGATTTCATTAATTACAATTAATTTCTCTAATGATGATCCATTTTTTAGACATATCACAATGGTTGTTAAAGCTATTAAGAAAGCAATCAAAAAAAGACTTACTTAAGAGACTATTGATTTCTAAACTAAATAAGAATTTAAAGTATGAATATATATTTTTTATTATAGATTTAATAGTCTTCTCTCTTTAGAATCTATTATTAAGATATTAATATAGGATTTATTACATCTACACATTAAATTAAATCTACAGCTTTCATTTTCGTAAATAAAAATATTTTTAATGAATTCGTAAACAGGAAAATGGCAATTGAATAAAAAGACTAATAAGTGAGGTTGACTCTCTATTTTTTTGATATCAATATTTAAAAAGAATAATAAATTTAGTAGGATTTTAAAAATCAATTTTTAAGAAATTATAAATTTAAAAATGATTTTATTGTATTGAATGAAGAAATAGATTAATAGAAATAAACCACAACATATCATGTCTATAAGCCTATGGATGATTAAATTTATTTTGTTAAAAGAGTAAAAAACAACCTAATTATAGATTTAATTGTTAAATATACCTTTAGATATTACATTTCAGGATATATTTAACACAAAAAGTTCAATTTAAGATTACCTCAAAATTTAAGAAGCGCGTACTCTTTAACGTATTTCACATCCAAACATTATCAGACTCTATGAATGGTGGCTGGAAATTAGAAATTACTAATTATTTCTATATACTTAGTTAGAATATTGTATTTATCCAGGATATATCTCATAATCTAAAAATCTATTGAGTTATTCATATTTTTATATGAATCCCATGCCTTAAGAATAAAAAAGCAAACTCATAGATGATATTCTCTGTTAGATTATAAGTGGACTGGAGTGTTTGTAAAAAAAGTAAATAGTTCATGGAGATTTAAAACCTGAAAGTATCATGGTCACTAAAAGTATCACTGGAGACATATAGGTAATTCTTTTATATAACGAAGGTTATGTTAGCAGATTTGAATCAATCATATTCATGTTATTAAGATTTGCAAAAACTTTAAACTAAAGATTTTATGGAATACAAATAACAAATCTTATATGCACTAGGTGTATTATTAATGCATCTAATTCTTACATTCCCTGGGGAACCAAAACTCAGAAATAACTATGTTACAAAATTTTAGAATTATGATATAGATGATTCTTTAAGTGAATTTGATAAATGGGCATAAAAATCGGTTAAGAATAAGCATAAAGAATTTTCATTCTTTTTATATAAACGTTATATGGAATTAGCAAAATCTTTATTAAAGAAATAATAATTTCATGAATTACATGAAGTAAGAACTTTTATTTAAAATAATAAATAATTTGATCATCTATTAGTTTGATTTATTTTATAGTTTTTTTTATAAAAAATCAATCAATTATCATGTATAGAGAAAGTATCATAATATTAAAATTATTTACTCTAATTACTAAATTATTATTATGCTTAAATGAATAGCTAAGTAATAAGTATAATTTAAATTTAACCTAATTATCTAAAAAAGATATATTTTATAAGGAAAAAATTAGAAATAAATTTAATAATTGAATAAATATATTAATACTTAATAATTTGAAATAAATGTATAAAGGAATTAGGTAATACTAATTATTACTATATTAAAGTAAATATCATTAAAATATAATAAACTCTTAATTTTATTACATTATTAATTAAAGTTTTTGAAAATTTATTGAAAATTTATTAATTTAGAATTAAAAGATATAATTTAATAATTAAATCATGAATATTGATTTAGTAAATAAATAAAAATAAAGCTTAGAAAAAACTATAGATACATAAAAAATTATCATCTTTTTTTTGATTTTCCTTTTTTCTTTGTTTATTTTTTCTTTTTTGGATGATTTTTAGTTTAGTGATGTTTTTTGTCTCCAGAAGAATCATGTTCTTAATCAGATTCAGTTATAATTTTTAAATCACTTTTATGATTGCTTGATATTAATTTTTCGATATTTCTCTATTATTATTTTTTAGCAGAATCTTCTAAATTAATTAATTCTTATTGATTTTCTTTTTCAATTAAATTTTATAAATCATCATCATTAAATAAATTTTTCATGACTTCTTATTTAAATTTATCCTTTTCATCTTAACTACATAAAATAAAATTGATATATACTGTTTTTATAATTCTTATTCAAAAAGTTAACCAAAAAGTTTCTTTTTCATTTCATCATAAGGAGTAGTATTAGTTGCTTAATCAAAATGATTTTTATCATACTTTTAATTTGAATACTATAATAAATCTTCTTTATATTAACATTGGTTAGAAATATTAATATCATTTTCTTGATTATTATTATTATTCTTTTTAATAATGTGACATTTAGACTATTATTTACTATCATCAGTTTATTCATCAATTTATTCTAAATCAAGTTATTTTAATTCATTAATTAATTCCTCTTATTCTTCATAAGAATTAAAATGTTATTCAATAATAGAATGAATATCTTATTTTTCTTCTTATATTTCTGATAATTTCAATTAATCTATTTATAGCCTTTCATCAATAATAGCATCTTTATTTTAGTTTATTTATTCTTCAAATTTATAAGATTTTCTTTATGGTATATCTTATAAAAAATTACTAACAGAAGGTGGTTAAAATAATCCTTTATTATCTAAAATATCTAGAGATGCTTAACGTGATCTATCAGACTATATTTTATCTAAAGATTTTTATAATCTTTAATCACTCTCTAATATTGGAGGATAAAATAATTCATCATCTAATCCACTAAATTATTTTAATCTTGCTTGTTATTATTTAACAGTTGATATTAAATCTTTGACAAAAGAATCTTGAATAGTTTATTAAAATAACATATGTTAAGTTGTATTTTAAACTAACATCTTTGCTCTTCTAATTATTTCTTTTGCATTTTTTTTGGGTATTTTTTTTGATTTTGAATCATTTAATATTTATTATGATTAATTAATTTATAGTCTTTAATTGTAAGAGATAGTTGAATCATATATTTTTGATTTAAGTAAATTAACATTAACACTTAAAGCTCCATAATGTAATACTTTAAGTGTTTCTTCTATATCATCACCTGTCAATCTAACATTAACAATCATCAAAATTCTATTTTCTTCTGTAAAATATTCACACAACAAACGAGTTAATTTACATTCTCTGAATGGTATACGACAATTTTAATCAGATTCATTTTGACATCTCATTTATTTTAGACATTTTCCAAGAACTAATAAAGATTTATTTATATTGCATGCTTCTGTAAGTTATGAACCTTGTGTTTCAGCTCTTTTTGCTCTTTCTGACCCAGCCAGATCTACAATACATATAGTTTATTTCTTTTAAATTGTAAATTGTTCTTATTAATATAGAAATGATATTTGTATTTTAAAGATTGTGTGTGATCGACTTGATTAATTATTTAATGTGGTTTCACCCATTTATCTATTTTATAAGGCTTTATTAAGTAAATCTTTAAATTATTAAGTATTATTTATTTCCTTCTCTACAGCATCCTTTACATAACATTTTTTATCATAGATTTCTTTTAATTACAATTTAGTTTTATTATTAGCTAATAAATCATATATTTCTTCATTATAAATTTCTAATGATTAAAATGTATAATTGACTTCTTTTAAAACATAGTCATCATAAGGAGATTCTCTAATTTTGATGACCTACCCATCAATTTCAATAGTGGTTTTATTTAAAAGAAATGCTGTTTTAATTTTATCTAAAGTTGATAATGTGAGCGGTAAAATTCCAGGTGCTTCTTAAGTACCAATTATAGTGTATGTTTTACCTGAATTTGTAACACCATAAGTAAAAACTAGTCCTCCTTTTTCTATTAAGTATTTGTATTATTTGTACATTTTTCAAATATATCCTTAATCAATGGAATAACATATTCTTAATGCAAATTTCTTTAAGTAGAATTCTAATCATATATTTAAGAAAAAGCAAATGTTTTTTAATTGGATATTTCATTTTCGTTATTGATTTCGTATATATCAAGTTTTTTATCTGTAATCATATAATTTACTAGAATGAACTCACAATTATTACCATAATTTTCACCTACAAATTTAGGACGAATTCTACAAATTACTTCAATACCATTCTAAGGTTCATTCTAATCTAACACACTCAATGTTTCAACAGTTGGTAATTCTATTGCTGGTTTTTTCTTGACTTCCATTTAATAACTTTGAATTCAAATTATAAAAATTAAATGAATAATAGGAGTTATTATTAAGAAGAAGAAATAATTGAATAAAAGCCTTCATAATCTCCATAATCTCCATAAATGATAGAGGAATTGAATTTCAATAATAGAGAAACTTTTACTATTAAATAACTCTATGAATAAATAGAACCCATTTGGGATAGTGTATTTATTTAGATTAATATTAAGATCAAAAATGTCTAAGGATTGTATATCATTATGTGAGCATTATAAAATATCATCTCATTATGGATTCTATTGCTTCTTTATCTTATGAATATAGGAAATTTTATAGCTAATTATATCAAATATCCAGTTGATCTATTATTTATTTTGATTTATTTGTATTGTTTAATACAAATACAATTTCAAATAACATGATTGGGAATCTCCACTATTAAATTACTTATTATATGTAATAATTAATATTAATTTAAGTTTTTAGATGGCTCATGCAGTTTCAAGAACATTATTATCAATATTTGTTATAATTAGATTTACATTTATACATTTAGAAATTGTATATATTATGATATCATTCGATTTTATAATAGTCTTTTTGTGCATTTAAATTGATAGACGAAGAAAGGTTCAATGTTTCTTTAACTAAAGGTTGAGGTATAATATAAATTATTTATTCATATTTAGAGCTCTTTTGATATTCATGATCTAAGAAATTCTAGTAAATTTAGTTTATACAGTGTATACTTGAGTAGAAGTGTTTGCTTGCTTATGTTATGATCCTATGTTATGTAATTTTGGAATGTTAGATGATTAGATGTAGACCACATATGAATTATTACTTCACTGCCTTTTATTTAGGCTAAATCTATTTTGATAATGATATTATATTACCTTGTTCCTTAATTAAGTTATTTAGACATTGAAAAATTATATAAAAATATATTTATATATATGTTAGATTATCCACAATTTAAATTGCCTGAATTTGTAAACTTATGTTTCCATAATTAGCTATTAGATAAAATCTATTTAGAAGATGTTATTTCAACTGCTCTTAATTTAATATTTTTTCATCGTGCACTTGGCCCAGTCAAATTGAATCATATGAGATGTGAACGTTTACCAAAAATTACTCAAGTATTATTATTATTATCTTTAGTTAAGATGTGGGGAACCTTAAGTTGACAAGGACATCAAGAAATTAATTGATAATATCAATAATGATCCTAACATGATTAATTGCTAGTCTCTTTAAATTTCTTTAAAATTTATGGAAGAACAACCAACAACACTCCTATAATTTTTTAAACCTAAACTTAAAGTATTTGAAGAATGGTTACTTTTGTTTTAATTTGGTCTCTCCTCCCTTGATAAAACTTAAGATGATTTCACACATATATTGACTAAAATTATAGATATTGCAACTGCCAATTATGATCATTTTGATGAACAATTTGATTAATCCCAACAAAAACCATTAAAATACCCATATGAAGTATAATTTAACAATTATCATTTTAGTTAACTTTTAATTTATAGTGATTAAATATATATATGCATTTTTCAATTATTGTTAACTATCTTTATTATATATTTAATTTAACTACTTTGATATTGCTAATAATTTGTATAGAACATAAATTTTCTTAAAATTTCAAATTATTTACAAATATTCTATAATATAAGTCTCAATATTTGTTATACCATAAGAATCAATACTTTATAATCTAATACTATTTACAATAAAAAGAAATCAAATTTAAGAATGATTAATATTAATATTATCAAATGAACTAAAAATATATATATATATATAAGAAAATGAATGATTTTTTGAATGTAATATTATATTAGAATAGTAATACTATAAAGTGGCTGTATATAAACTCTTAGTTTATTGATTTAGAACTAGAGGATAGATCACTTTTTAAAGGTTAAATAAATTATAAGTAAATATATATACCGTTTTTGTGTGATAATTAAATAAATGAAGGTTTTAGCTATGATGGCATTATTGCTGGTAGCAGCATACTGTCAATCAAATGAGATTGATGTAGTATTAAAGATGTTGAGTGATTTAAAAAATCAGACAAGCAAACAATTATAATAAATGGAGAGCGATTGGGAAACAACTAGATATGTAATTGATTATATATGAAATTTGAACAGCAAAAATAAGACATTGTAAATGATTTAATGAGATCTGCATCAACATAAAGAGGTGAATGTAATAGAAGAGATTAAGAATGGGCAAACAAAGAAAGAGACATTAGAATAACACTTAGCTATATTAATTGGTTAGAAAAAAGAATAAAAGAGAATAATGAAAGACTTTAAAGATTAGATATCAATAGATGTGAATCTAATTCTAATTTCATTAATGATATTAAAAATTCTAAGAAATCTCTAAATTTAATTGCCTTTCTTAGAAGAGCTGTAAAGAATGCAAAAGAAGTATTATTTAAAGCAATAATTAGACTGATTTACCAACACTTTTGTAATCTGCTTAATTCATTTAACTTAAATCATTTTTAGCTGATGATGGTGAAGAACTAGAAATTACAAATGAAGATAATGAACCACCTCATGTATATGATGAACCTGAAGTTGTTGATAATGCAGATCAAGTAGAATAAGAAGATGATATCCCATAAGAAGATGAAACTACAACAGAAGAATAATCCACTGAAACCTAAGATCCCTCAAATGAGGTAGACTAACATAGTTTAGTTGATGCTAATGAAGAACCAGAAGTTTAAGTACCTGAACATCCATTAGAAGCTGAAGAAAAAGCTACAAATGAATAATTAGCTAAGGAAGCTGCTGCATTCAATAAAATTATTGAAAAAGGATAAAAGGCTCCTGCTGAAACTGGTTCAGGCAAAGATTATTCATAATTTACAGTTGCATAATAAGAATTATTAAATTTCTTAGACATTTTAGAAGATTAAGTAAGAGGATCATTTGGAAAGAAATAAGATAATTAAGTTAATTCAGCTATGGGTTACAGTGATTTCAAAGGATTGATTCATAAAGAAAATGAAACATTCAAAGGTCATTTGGTAGCTGAAGATGTTAATCTAGTAATACTTTTAAATTATATATAATTAGGAAAAATTATAAAATTAATTGATTACCATATTATAAGCTACTGCAGCTTGCAAAGACAGATTAAAGAAAATCTAAAACTCAATTGATCTAGCTAATGAAGTATCCTTTTATAATTTATTTTTAGGATTTAGCTTCTTCAGAGGCTCACTTTAAATCTGTAACTGAAACTCTTTAAGAAGAGCAAAATACCTTTGATGATGTTTACAGAATTTATTCAAGTTAAGTTGGTTCTCAAAGTACATCATACAAAAGTGATGTTTAAGCCAAAATTACCAACTGATTATGTAGAATCATCCAAAAATTATAATTATTATATAAATCTAAATTAATTATATACTCCCTAAGGTTGTATTTATATCATGTGTATAATAATAATCTAAAAATCTCAAGGATTCCATTTATTTTATTAAAGTCTAATATAAATTCAAAAACTAATGGAAATACTAAAAATAATTTATTTAGAATTAAAACTATAATTAAAATTTAACATTTATGAACAAGAATCAGATTCAAAATGCTAATGTTCGCAAACCATCAAATACATATTTAAAAACTGAATTCAATAATACTTCATAAATCAAAGATAATAGATTTACAACTGAACCATCTCCTAAAAAAAATAATAAAGAGAATATTGTTAAAGCTTCATATCTTAAAGCCACTCTTTCAAATCATTTGATTAAATAAGATAGAAATATTACACCAAACATACCAAAAAGCAGTGTAATTAGTTTGTTTTTAAAATAATAATAATAAGAGGAATAATAAGTTGAATTAAAAGGAAATATTTGTTAAACCCATAAAAAGAAATATAAATATGAAGCCAATGAATAATTGATGTGTAGCAGATGTATAGTTGATTATGCAATATAATCTGGTTTACCAATACGTTATTATGAAATAGATAAAAAAATGTTGACATTTGGTTAAGAAGAAGATCATGATGAATTTTAACAATTTACATAAAATACATCTAAAGAACTTTAATTTATTCAGAATATATAGACATAGGCCAATGGAATAATCAAAAAAAAAGAACTGAAAGACTTTGTTATAAAAGTTGGTGATGTTATCAGTTAGAATATGTAATTTCTCAAATTAATCCAATAACATTAAATTTAATTTGATAATCCTAAATAAAAAACAAATAAAATATTAGAAGAACTCTAATTATTAAGTAAATAAATTATTGATGACATTCTTGATAAATAAAAAGTAAAATCTTAAAGTTTACTTATGAATGATGCACCTTAATAGATTAATTTAGCTAGCTTCAAATCTGTTGTTTCTTAATAGATTAATGATTTATAGAATATTAAAAAAGACATTCTAGAAAACGTTGAAAACATCATAACTTAAATGGATGTAGCTCCATTTAAAATCATAATCAATAAATATAATGAAAAATTAAGATCATTTGAAAATACTCTCTTTGAAATTTAGGAATAATGTATATAGTATTTTTAACAGTAGACAAATCATTTCCTAAATAGAATGAAGAATAAGGGTACACAAAGAAAATGAGAGAGTTAAATTTTTAAAAGAAATTATAAAAGTTATTTACAGAGTTAATGGAAAATCCTATTCAAAAATCCCTATTATTAGCGGATTAGAGTAAAAATAACACTAATTTAATAGTAAATAACAATACGAAATTTATCTAATTATTATAAAAAGTGAATACCAATTAAAACACAAATACAATATTCTATTAATCTATTCTTAAAGTATTATAAATTCATTTAAAATAGGATATCAATTCAGATGAAAAACCTAAATAAATTAAGCCAAAATAAAAACAGCATGAATGAATTTAAATTATTGTTTTATTTTATCAACTTAAATAATACTTAATTAAATCATTTTTAGATAATTATAATAATTTAACATACTTAATTGTGTTACATTTTCTAATTATATATTAATGAAATTACTTTTAGTCATATAATAATTTTTATTTATATATATATATATGTATTTTTATAAATTGATATATTTAATTCTCATTAAGTTATTTATTTAATAAATGCTAATCTTGATTTATTTTCAATTTTATATAGTTATTTAATACTAAATAGACTTAAATCCTTAAACTTAATTGATTATTATTTATCTAATAAATTATCAGCTAATTTATTAATCACTTTCTAATTCTCTTCATCTAATCCTTCAACTATACCAATAATAACTTAATCATTAAGTGTTTTTAATAAATCTTTAGCATTCTCAATTGTATATTCTCCAATGCAATCAATTTTCACTTATTATTCTAAATCAAAACTAATAAATCTTGTATTCACAACACAATCTTCAATTTTTAGATTACCCTCATAACAAATTTATTTATTTTCATTCTAAATCAATCCCTTATTCTTATTTTACAATTTTGGACATTCATTTATGATAATATTTTGTGTTTCACTATCTTCATCTTCATCAACTACAATAACTATTGGATTAGGTCTAACTCTTTTTACAGGAGGAGGTGAAGCTTCTCTTTTTTTCCCTTTTTTCCCTTTTCTTTCATTTTATTAATCTTCTTGTCCCTAATGATTGTTAAATAATTATTGAATACTTATTGAACATCTTATTATTAACCATCATTATTGCCCCATGTTTATTCTGTATTACCCCAATTATTTTAAGGGGCATCATTTCCCCCATCTTGTGCTTGAATGTTAACTTCTGCTGGTTCACCCCAACTCATAAATTTAGAATATTTATTATTGATGAAGCTAAACATAGAATGTTACTTTTGTAGTTCATATTATGAAGTAAAATTATTATTAAATTTAATTAAAATATCGTTAAAGGGAAGCTATTAATCTAAAAATAGAACCTCTAACATCTATAAAATATATGAACTATTTACTACTTTAATTCACACCTTTTCATGTTGATATTTTACAAGATTAAAAAAATGAAAAATGGTATGATCATAAATTAATCTTATAACTTGAATCTAAAACATTGCTGATATAATATATAATATTTTAAAACATGATTTATAACTTGTTGCATCTTATTAATATAGAATTTTGCAATTTATGGGAAAAGCTCATTAATGATAGGAATTTTGAATAAGCTAGTTGAATATAATAAATATGTATTCACTTACTATTCTTGCTATATATATAGATTTATATATTTTTTATTCAAATTTCCAAATTTTAAGAGATCTATATGTTTAATTTAAAGACTATCTTAGTCTTGAATGCCAGTATTTAACATATATATTAAATTATATATGGCACACAATATATATAAACAAAATATAATCAAAGTATAATCTTCTCCTATCATTCTGAGATTACTTGTCTCGTATGTAGGGTTTTTCTTGATAAATCATAAGAATTTGTTGATGAAATCTAAAAACTCAAAGTCTTTTTTTTAATAACAATTATATCCAATTGGCATGATTAATTTGGACTAGGCTTTTTTAGTATGCCATTTTTTGGAATAGAAAGTGATCCTTTCCTTGAAGCTTTCATTGAGCTACAGCCCATAAAATAATAAACAAACAATTATTAAATTTTATATAATTACAATCAACTTAAGTTAGTTAGATTTTTATACTGAAATTAATTATAGAGCAATAAACGATTATTAATAAATTTAAACTTTAGATATTATAGACAATTATGTTTAGAAATTATAAATGAAAGCAATTCTATAAAACTAAGATCAATCAAATTAAATATTATATATAATAAATATATATTTTAATATGAATCTGAAAAAGATTAATAATTATAATATTACAATCATATCATAAGATTAAATTTATTATAATATATTTTATATATTACTGTTATTTATATTTGATACTTATTAATAAAGAATGATATTAATAAATTTATCAAAAAAAAATATTTACTTAATATACTTAATTTCTAGGTATGAATAATTTTTTAATTCTTATGATATATTATAAATATATATTAATTTTATAAATCAATTGAAATAATAATAATATGATAATATGATAATATATATTTTATTAATTATGGAATTGATACATTTTATTTTGGCTGAAAATTTAGAAGAATTTCTAATCTAACTGATTTCTAAAATATAGTTTCTTCAATCCATGCTCATAATTGATGTTATTCTTGATTTTTTTTTAATTTAAGATATTAAGTTTTATATTATTTTGATATTAACTCCATCTTAAAATATTCAAACTTTTATTTAGTATTTTAGTTATCTTTGTTTTTTTTTGATGTGCTAGACTTCATGAATCTTAATTGAATATTAGAAATAAAAATAAAAATTAAGTTTGTATATATAGATATTCTAAATGCTATCAAATAAATAAATATGTTGAGTATTATAGCAAATCACAATTCATTAACAAGAGCTCAATTCAATTTGTTATAATTTATTCTGATTTAGAGATTATAGAATGAGATGAGTATATTTAAGGTCTTTCTTCATTTAATAAAAATGATAACATACTCCCGGGTTCTTTCACTTCTGTTTCTGGACTTGTTTCACAACTTGTATGTTTTGTTAGGAGGTATTGATTAGTATTATGTGGGGAACTAAGATTTTTCTCATTTAGTATGATTATTTGTATGATGTGTTTTTTTATCTTTTTCTTAATGCTTCTTTAACTTTGGGGCTTCATGGTATTTGTTCAAAGATGAAGTATGTTTTTGATTTTTGAAGAGCTTAATGAATTTTTTTTGCTTTTATTTGAAGAATTGTAAAACAAAAATGGCTTAAGAAATAAAAACTTTAACGGGGTGATGACATTTGCTCTTTAAATATTAGATTAAAAGGAATGAAGTTAAGAAATTAGATAATTTAACTCAGCAACACAAAATATACCAAGACTATAAAGATAAAATAGTTTAACTTAGAACTTCTCATTAATTGAAATCACACTAAAATACTCGTTTTTTTTTAATTCAAATTTTTTTTTGTTAATCCTTAAATTATTAATATTTCTTTGATTTCATAAAAAAAATATACAGAATAGAATTTCTCTTTATATACTTGATACATAATCAATATCTTAGAGAATGAACTTAATACAGCAATAAGAGTATTTTTAAGAATTGATTATATGTTCATTAAATCTCTTCTTTGGAGTGGAAGTAAATAAATTAATTATATATATTTGATTTTATAAACTTATTGCTATAAAATTTATATTAATATTAAAACATATGTGTTAATTGTTTTTTTTATCATTTTAAATTCCTTTAATGGATTTTCTAATAAGTCGAGATTATATTAAAATTAAAAAAGAAACTTAATTTTAATTTATTATATTTGTATATAAAATAATTTATACATGTAGTAATCAAATTAATCTTATCCCAATAATATTATCTCAAGATTGCTTAGTTTAATAAAATTTTATTTATATACATATATTCAATAGAGTAAATTAATCAATATATTGCTTAAATTATGTAATAATTCAGAAAGTTTAAAAATAAAAATTTAAACAAAATTTCAGGTAAATAAAAATAACTAATTTTTAAACTTGAATGGACATTAAAATTTTTAATTATGAAGTGCTATACCAATAAAATTTAATTTGATCATTACTAATTTACTATCCTTTTTATTGAAAATTTAAGATCAGAAAAAGAAATATATAATAATTTAAGAAAAATTATTTACTTAATTTTATATTCTATTGACGATTAAATGTTTTTAACTTTAAATTAATATTTTACTAAAGACTAAATATAATAATATTTAATATAATAAAAATAGAGCTTAGTAATATTTTAGAAGAAATTTACAAAGTTAATATAATTAGATTTACTAAGATCATATATATGAAAGTATTTAAATGGATTATAAGTATTTTAGAAGAGGATAACTTATATGGTGTTATTTATCATTAAAATTAATAATAATGCTGTTATTATAAAAATATATAATTAGTAAAACATATCATTTAATTTTTTTCATTAGTTCAATTAATTGTTATTTTTAATTAGAAATTCATATAAATCTTAGTTAATGATGTTTAAATCATTATTATTTTTTTTATGGTGAAATAATCAAAAGTTTATAGATCTAGAAGCAGAAAATACGATAAAATTACATAAGAAGAAAGAGTTTAAATAGTATAAATGAAAGAAAATGGTTCAACTTGCAGAGAGATTAGTGAAATGATGAATAAAAATATTAAAACTATATAATCGATTAAATCAATAGAAAAGAAATCAGAATATGCTGATTTGAAAAAGGCTTTAATTGATTTTGGATTCGAAAAAATAATGGAGATGTAATAAATAGATGTAATATAAATTGAATAATTTTAGAAAAGGAATTCTAAAATCATAGGGAAATAAGCAAGTAAACTTATTAAAGAACAATTAGAAATGAAGACATCAAAATTTTGGAATCTAATTCCTGAATAAAAAAAGTTCTCAAATAAGAGAAGAATAATTTAACAGATAGTATTGAATATAGTAGAGAAAGTATAAAATGTAATTCAAAAAAATAATGATAATCATTAATAAACTACAATTGTTGCCAAAGAAGAATTTATAGAGAAAAAGGATGAAATTCCAAATAATTTCTTTGTATAACCAATTCCTCCACAAATAGCAAAGGCTTATTATTATCTAATGTCTTTGCTTATACCAAGAAAAAATATCTATACATGTCTATAATGATTTATATGTTTAATTAACTACAAAAATATTGAATGTATTTTTCAAGTTTTATTATCTATTAGATATTGATAATACAATATAAATATCTATATTTTATTATGTTGATTATATACTAATAATATTAATTGTATATGATTCACTTTCATTTATAATATTATCAATTTATTATATAAAATATGGATTTATACCACTACTTATTCAAATTCATTATAGTTGGAGATAGTTGTGTTGGAAAGTCTTGTATACTTCTTAGATACACGGAGAAATTATTTAGAGATGAACATGATACAACAATAGGAGTGGAATTTGGATCATAAGTATTAAAAAAGAATGATAAAACAATTAAAATACAAATCTGGGATACTGCTGGTTAAGAATCCTTTAAATCAATAACAAGATCATATTATAAAGGGTTGATATTATTATCTATATTTTAGTTCTATTGGAGTACTTTTAGTCTATGATATTACCAATCAATAATCTTTTCATAATGTTTAAAAATGGTATAATGATGTAAATGATCAAGCAGCATCTAATTGTACTATAGTATTAGTAGGCAATAAAACAGATCTTGAATCATAGTAATCCAATACTTTAATTTTAGACGTAAAATTACAACTATTGAAGCCAGAGCTTTGGCTGATTAATATAAAATGCAATATATTGAAACATCTGCTAAAACCAATTAAAATATTGACTTTCTATTTGAAACAACAGCATAATTAATCTTAGATAAAATTGATAAACAATTAATAGATTTTGCTAATGAAGTATTTCATATTAAAATATATCTAATAGGATAGTGGAATTAAGTTGGGAACTTTACAAAAATAAGGCAAAGAAGGGAATAAGGATAAAGATAATAATTGTTAATGTTGAATGTCTTTATTAATTTTATATCAAAATTATGATTGATTTTTAAATCTAAATAGTTTTATAAATTCTGAGATTAACGAATATATTATATTATTCATTAATAAATATCTATCCTTACTTAATTAATGCATTCTAAATGTAAATAAATAATTATTTTAATATTTTATAATAGAACTCTCAAATATTTTAGGGGGCATAAATACAAACTCAAAAAAAAAGATTTAATTATAATTATTATCTATGTCTAGTAGATAGTGTCTTCCAAAACGTAATAAAAAATACTAGAAATTAACAAATGAGGAAAGGTGTTTCATTATGAACATGAAATAGTAAGGTATGGGATGTCAAGAGATATCCAAAATATTAAATAAAAATTTAAAGACAGTTTAATCTGTTCAAAGTTCAGAAAGGAAATCAGAGTATAAATCCCTTAAAGCAGCTATCACTTAATATGGACTAGACTAATTGCTCCAAATTACTTCCATCTAAGTATTAATTAATATTTATATATATAGTCTATGAATGATAGAAAGTTAAAAAAATTAGCAACTAAAATCATTAAAAATGTGATGCCACCCAAAAATAAGACTAAGTTTGCTCACTTAATCCCAGCTCATAAAACTGACTCAAATAAAAGAAGAATTATTGACCAAATAGTTAATAATATCTTGGATAATATTCAAAAAATTTTGATTATTAGAAATATGACTAGTCTATTTGAACCAAATAATTCTTCATAAGGTGATACTATGTGGTTAGATAACTCTGAATTCTCTAAATTTTCATCCAATATAATATATGATGAATCAGAGGCCTTAGACAATCAATATAATGAAGGGATACCTAATAATGAGTACTATTCTGATAATGTTCCAGAAATATTGTAACAATTTGAAGGCTAATCTATAAATTTCTTAAACCGCAGTGTGTTTGAAAAAACTATAGAAGAGTCTTCAGATTGCTATTTTGACTTATGAGATGTCAATTTTACATACAAGATGATATCAATATAAATATAACATAAAAATATTAAAATCTATATTAATATACTCTTAAGAGGTAGAGAACATTTTATCAAATTATTTATTGATATTATAATAACTCTAGTATCCATAAAATATGATTTAATTTTTCGAAATAAAAATTTATTTGATCCTTTCAATATATAAAGAATTCTCATTTGTATTATAGAAGAAACTAATTGGCAGTCTATTATGGTGAAATATATTACTTTTAACAATTTATCCCTAAATAACAGATATATTATATATTATATATTATACTAAAATAATTTATTATTTAATAATTATTTTTAAAAAGTTTTCGTTAAATATCTAAAATACATAAATTATTATATTACTAAAATATGATATTATGTAAATCAATCTTTTCTCTCCTTTAATATTTTTATAATAAATTAAGTTATTAATCTTTTTAAAATAAGAGTCTATACTTTTTATCAAAAACTTGTACTATAATGCATTCTATAATAGTTGAATTGTTAGACTTTGATTTTTTATTATTATTAATTAAGAAAAAGAATAAGTTTTTTAAAAACTATTCAATAAAGTTATTTTAGCAATATTGGTAATACTGAATAATCTTTTGATGAGTTATTAGTATTCAACTTACAATAATACTATTTAGACTATCTTAAATCATCTTGCCTGCATTTCAAAATTAAATCAAATATTATAATTCATATATTTATGAGATTCTAATTGTTTTTTTATTATGATTTGTTTGTATTTTGAAAACAAAGAAATTAATAATCAATGAATTAATATTCTAAGAATCCTTGATAATTTTATCTTAATGCAATAAATAGCAGGAATTTATTGAATTTCCAAAATTCATATATCTACCTTATTTTCCTATTTTTACAAAAAGGAACTAGTCTATCATTAAATCTGAATAAGAAATTTTAACTGTTTAAGCTATATTTTAAATCATAATAATAATCCTTATGAATTAATATAAAATATATCATTCTTTTGGAATACCTCCTTCTGGTGTTTATTTGCCTAACAAAGCTTTGTGAATATGAGGGATCACACCACCACCTGCAATAGTAGCTCTAATGAGAATATCTAGTTCTTCATCACCTCTAATAGCTAATTAAAGATGTCTTGGTGTAATTCTTCTCACTATGATTAAAATTAATAATTTGAATTACCTTTAAAGTCTTTTGAAGCATTTCCTGCTAATTCAAGAACTTCTGCTGTTAGATATTCTAAAATTGCTGATGTATAAACAGCTGATGTTGTTCCTACTCTGTTTTTGGCAGATACTCTTTACTTCAAATATCTATGAATACGACCAACAGGGAACTTATAATTGATTCATTTTCTACTTAAAGTCCTGCCTTCAAAGACCTAGATTATGGTGCTTTCTTATTCTTGCCTTAGCCAAATTTTCCTCCTTTTCCACCTTTTCCACCTTTTCCGCCTTTTGCACTCTTTGCTATGCCACTCTAACATATATTATTCATACTATACCATTTTGTTGTTAATTTATTTTTATGCATTAAAAACTATTATATACTTTGTTTAAGAATCGATAAATTCAAATTTTGATTGGCTGTGCATATTAATTTTGGATAATAGTGTTAGAATAGCATGTCTTCTTAACTGCTTTTCAAATCTGAATTCTAAATTCACTTTTGTATAAAATTGTTTCAAACTTATCAAATTATTATGCAATTATATAATGGAAATAATTATTTGCTTAATAATTTATAATTAAATAACCAAAACATACAAATTCTATGATCAAATAATCATGTGAGATTCTTTCGGTTAAAATTAATTTACATATATAGTTTATAAATCATTATCACTATTTTTAATTGCAATCTCAACTTTTTTATGACACATATTCAATATATTTAGGTATAATAGGAATTAAAAATCATACTTCAAAAATTTATAAACTATTCTTAAACTCTTAAATATTACTTTGAAATATCAAGCAAGAACCTAATAAAATTATAGATTGAAAAATTAAATAAAAAATGATTATTTTAAGTAAGAATCTAAATATATATTATATATATATTCGACATTTTTTTATTTTGAAGTGTTATAAGAAATCAAATATATATTTTTATATGTTTAAGATAAAAAATAAATTTATTAGAAAAATAAAGTATTATCATAATTTTCTTTTAGTATGATCTTTATCTAAAAGACGTAATAACTAATATTGAAATTCTCTACTTATAGTTTTTGGCAAGGCGAATTTAGGAAATTAAGCTAACTTAATTTCTTCATCATTTTTTCCTGGAAATGGTACTTTTCCACATAGAATTTAATACAATAATACTCCTAAAGCCCAAATGTCAGCCTTTTTTCCATCATATGGCTTTTTTTGAAATATTTCAGGTGCCATATATGCAGGTGTACCACAATAATCTGAACAAAGCTAATTTTCTGATGCAAGTCCAAAATCGATTAGTTTAACTTATTTATTAATTATCATTATATTATCTGCTTTTAAATCTCTATGAAAGATATTTTTTGAGTGCAAATATTTAATTCCTTCTCTAATTTAACTATAAATTTGTTTAGCTTCATTTTCTTATAATCTTCTATTAGGTTAATCTAAATTATAATAAATTTTAAACTTACTTTTCAAATAATTTGTTAATGTTAATCCATCAATAAATTCTAATACAATTGTATTCTTATAAATTCCTAAAAATTTTACTATATTTTCATGGTCTAACTTTCTTAATATTTCTGTCTCTTTAAACAATAGTTTCTTTTATTCTGATTACAATAAATTAGAATTATACTTTTTTATTGCTACCTAAACTATTGTATTTATTATTTTTACTTAAGAATCAGTCATTCTATCATATGCTTTAAAAACTGTTGCAAATGCTCCAACAGCCAATTTAGATAAAATTTAATACCTTTCAAATTTAACAGGTTTACTTGACTCTTCAGTTTTACAAACAGTATAGCTTCTTTAAAATTTCATTGATTAAATAGTATTTAGCATAGCTTATTTCCTTTCCACAATTTATGTAGCTTATTATAAAATTTATTATGGATTTTGAGGTTTTCTTTTGAAAGCTGATTATGCCCTTTAAGGTTTTATAGGAGTAGGCACACAAGGAATAGTTTTTTAAAAAGTAAATTTATTGAAGAGATCCTCAACTATTTAATCAAGAGTTTACATAAACTTATTATATTAATAATTTAATAAATCAAAATAAGAGTCTATTATCTAAAGTAAAGAGATTTTATTTGTGTATTCCAAACTAGAATTCCAAAGACCAAGCTTTGAAACTTAAGACCTAATTAGATTAAGCTTCTTTATAATAACAGAATATAATAAAACATAAGTAAATCTAATAATAATTAAGACTTAAATTACCTTTAGAACCATATTAAATATACAAAACAATATAACTAATTTAAAAATGAGATTTTCTGCTTCTCCCCATATTGTAAGGGTTTTATCTGCACAACTCCACCAATTCTTTTAAATACTACAAATTCAAAATTACCTTGTAAATTGATATCCAAACAATATCTAAAACTATACTAAGAACAGTTATTGCTCCAACTATTTTTAAGTATTCTGGATTAAAACAATCTCTAAATATAATCAATAAGTATAATATCCCTAATAATATCTATAAGTCTATATAATCTTAAGTTTACATCCACATAGGCTGGTCTTGCAAAGCATTAGAAAATTGATAAGATAATCATCAAGACATACAGGATGAATCCATAATATATTTCATCACTAAGTTCATCTATTTCCTCTCCCTGAAATTATGTTTGAATATTATCTTAGTTCAGAGATTTTTAAGAAGGTGTAGGTTTGTCTATTATTTATGTTTAATTTTATTATTATTATTAATAAATTAAAGCTGAATTTGTTTTCAAATTTGAAGTAGTTAATGGTTTCAATAAATATTAAAATTTTTATCTCTAATATTAATTCATGAAAGGGTATTAAACTATATATAGATCTCTTTTATAATCTTCAATATCATTATGGAGTTATTATATAGTAGATTAATTTTTAGGGATCATTTCTTCTAAACTTTTAAGCTATTTATTAATTAGTGAATTACTTTATTAAATATCCATTGAGCATCAAATAATATGGTTGCTGTATCAATTTATTGACTATCATTTTACAATTATAATGATAGAGAATGAACTTATTAATCATATAATTAAGATAAATATATTTTAGCTTATCCAATTAATGATTTCATTTAGTTTAGATCTTCAACCAATAAACTAAAAATTATATTCTCCCTTCCAGTTTTAATTTAACTAGAAATTAATTATAATAAAATTAATTCTTACAATCCTAATTGCTCATTAAATAATGGATTATACTTATCTCCTCCACTCTATTTTGCAATTTATTCATTATTATCAACTGTTATTGATAAATAACTTTAAGTATAATCCTCATTTGTTATTCCTGAGACAGACTTGATCATTAAATTTAATGATGAATCAATATCTAAACCATATTGATTATATTATTGATAATCTACAATATAAAACATAAATACTTTGCAATTCTTAAATTTGTCTTTGACAGTCCTTTGATTCTTTAATCAAAGACTAGATTTATTATTTAGTATCATGTATCTTTTTCTTTAACTTTGCATCAGCAGATATCAATTTTTTTGAAAACTCTTCAATTAAAACTTATCCTATTTGATTTCGAGTACATTTTTCATAAATTTAAGTGGCTACATCTCTATCATAAACTTTATCTATCTATATTGATTATCCTTAAATTTTAATATACTAATTCATCTAAAGCATTATATATCTAATCAGGTTTGTATGCTTCTCCTTTATTTAATCCAACTCTTTAAAATGCTTTTAATATCTAGTTAACACTAAATTAGAATTACGATGACATATTTTTAAATTAATTATATGATTTTTATATTAAAGAGCTTGATTGAAGATTCAATTAATATTTGAGTGGTTCATTACATTAGAAAATAGAATAAAATAGATA